AGTACCCTTGAAACCAGGCCCTTCAATAATACAGGTGATACTGACACATTCCATTCTTGGTGGAGCGGGCTTTGGTTGGTCTTTATTCAAAGAGGAAGGAAAGTTGTCCATGAAACAAAACAGAGTATTTAATGACTATCACAAAAAATTAATATTTATTTTGGCTTATATCCTGAAAATGTTGGGTAAAAAAAGTATAGTTTTTAATTACTATTTAAGCCATTTGTATTTTGTTAATTGAGAAAGCCTCAAAAAATTTTTCAAATATCATGAGGATCCTGTTAGGGTAATTTGCCTATAGCTTATTGTGTCCTAGACTTTTCTTGGTATCATGTTCATATAAAAGAAACATCAGACACTCATTCAGCAGGAAGGCAAAATCTGGGGTAAGGGAGCAGCAGGCTTGGCCTCTCTCCCTTGGGCTGGTCATCACGTGTCAATGTAATAATGGAGAACTAGCAACCCCAGCTCTAAGACCATACATGGGAGCCTCCATACTGGAGCCGCCGTTAACTGGACTGAATGATCTGTTTTACGCAACCACCATTTAGACAATGTGTCCTTTCACTTAATTTTTTTTAATGACATAAACCACAATGAAGTAAGGTAAAGTTTTGAAGTAAACCTACCTGGGCTCAAATTTCATCTCCACCAGTTACTGGCTACATCACTAAGTTACTTAAGAACTCTAAGTCTCACGTTCCCTCATTAATGAATGGAGCATAGTAGTATTTCCCTCTGTGATGGTCTCTGGTCAGACGTCAGTGATACTCTGAGCTTGCTTCCATGCCTGGCACATGATGATTCAATAAATGCTTGTCATTTTTATGATTATCTAAAGAATTTACACTTTCAAAGCACATAAGAAAAATCAAAGACCCTCTGTATATGCTTTCCTACAATGTCCTACAATGAGAAAAATTCTTTGTGTCTATCCCTTTGGGGCATATAATAGGTTTTACATAAATGTTGTGGATTAAATTGGAAATGCAGTTATTCTGAAGCACAAAGTAGGTGAAAACAATTTTCTTTTCAGAAACGAAAACCTTTTAACAGTATTTAGAGAATAATGTTGGAAAATATCTGATAAATGCTCTAATATTAATGGCAATGATACTTTGTGCCCCTTTGTCAAAAAGCTTTATGAAATACAAACAACATTTCCATTGAATTAAAAATATATTGTGTAGGTTTGTTGAATTGGCTAATGGTTGACAATTTCTGGAGTACATCAAGGTAAACCAGAAGTTCCCAGAGGAAAAAAAACACAACACGTTGGAAGCTATGAAAATGCTTAAGAGAGAACTAGCAGGCAGTCTATTTTTGTTTGACCTTAATTCCTAATACTAAATTTAAAAAATGCTTTGGATTCCAAAATAAAAATTATTCAAGATGTGTTTTTTCACGTGTTTTTGAATGACAGCAAACTAAATAATCTCAATACTATAGGTTTTCTTTTGCCTTGGGCATTAAAAATGTAATCTGTATTTCAAATTTCTCGCTTTATTTTAGCAAAGTGGAGACCAAAGAAGTCCTGCTTAAGATATTCTTTTTTTTTTTTTTAATTTTATTTATTTATTTACTCCCC